AGTGATCGCTTCGCCGCGTCGCTTGTTACCTTCAAAATCTGCTTTAAATCTTCACTTTTACCAACGTAAACTCTCGGCAAGTACTGAAGAAGATGCTGGTAGAAATTACTAGGCCTCGCGATTACGAATTCCGAAGCGAAATCCAGATCGATGAAATATCTTTTGGTGTCCGATCGAACAACGTCGATGAATTCGTAGTTTCCGGCGGTGAGTCCGCCAGATGTCTCCCATTTTGTTTTGCAAATCGCCGCATTGTAACCTTTACACCTCAAAAACGCCATGACATTTCTTCGCAAAATCTGTCTATTTGATTTCACATCGGAAAACAATTCAACAGCTTTCGAAACAAAACCTAAAAGTCCTTTTTCAAACGCTTCTTTCTCACCTTGCAGAATCGATTTGATGAAGTCTAAATTCACCTCACTTGACTCATACATTGAAGGATCGCGCTCAGAATCGGAGTCATTTATCTCCGGCGACGAGTCTCCGGCGTCTTCAACAGTAAAACCGTAGAAAAGATCGGACAAACTCGGAGAGATGACGTCATCGTCGACCTGGTCGCTGTGTTCACTGCCGCTGCTGACGTAAGCCGTTCCAATCTTCTCTCGACCGACGATCCGGTCCATCACCTTCTCATCCCACGGGTCAGTTACTCTCTTCATCCTAGCAAAAGCTGACATGCTTTCTCTTTCCGTTTTAGCTTATCTAATAAAAGTGCTTTTTCTCTAAAACAGCTTCCATAATCTACCGCAAAAAATGCTTATGATTAAGCGTTTCTGTATAGGATGTGAAGGAGAGGGATGAGAATGATGAGTACTTAAAAGACTAGAACTTATGCATAAAAAGTACAATATGCGAATGGAATATTCTAAGGAACTTATTTTAAATAATTGAATAAAAAAGGTGATTAAACTGAAATATGGGTTTTGATGGGAATAAAAGGGCATTGGAGTGGTGTAATTTAAAGGATACACCCTGGTACGGTTCTCATAACTCAAATGGATATGCTATTGCACCTTTGGATTATTCTCGACGCACATCGATGATGTGGGCAGAGTTGATTGGATCACGTGGAGTTTTCGAGTTGTTCGGAAGTAAATTTTGTATGAATTATGCTATATGTACAAAGTTGGATTATAAAGTTGGTTGATAAAATAACATCTACACCAATAATTTTAAAAACAGATTTTTAAATCATTTGAAATCAACAGTCTGAGTTTTGTCAACACACTTTGTAATCCAACTTTTATAACTAACTTTGTACAAATAATTTTATTGATTTTGTAATATATTAGATAATATTAGAAAAATATAAATTTCATGTATTTTTAGTCTTGTGTATTGTAAGATTGAATCAATTCACTTGTTAAAACTTAAAAGTTGGAAGTTTAAAACCCATAATTTTTTTTACTAGTAGATAAAATTTTAGAAATATATAGCAAATTTTGAATTTTTTATATAGAGAAGCATAAGTCAAAACTTATCACTTGACAATTGCCACGTGGTAAAAATCAAATATTTAGCAGATTTTGATAAAAGTTGATAGAATGTGTAGTTGGAAAGTTATGGATCCTATTAAATTTATGATTAAAATCAATTATTGTCACTGTCTTAAATTTTAATAAGATTTTTTAGCAATACCAAACCAAGGCTAAAGCTGATAGAGTGCAATTCATGTGGAAAGCCTTAAATCATCCTATAGTTAGGGTTTATTTGGCATGTCTTTCAAAGTCAAAATGAGCTTTTTAGACCCGTTTGACTAATTTTTTAAAGAGGAAATTACAACTAGCCCTG